CTCTCTCGCTCTCTCTCTCTCTCTCTCTCTCTCTCTCTCTCTCTCTCTCTCTCTCTCTCTCTCTCTTTCTCATCCAAAACGTGGCCAAGATCGCTGCTGGCCGAACTATCCGATTCCAGCTCGCGAGACGACGGCACTTGGCGAGCGATCGATCATGAAAGCGGCGCGAGTCAAGTTTCCAAGACAAGCCGTCGCTCTCGCCGAGTACTTGCCTCGCATTTTGACGTTTAGCTCGAGCCGCTTTCGAGGCGATCACCCGTGCCGTGCATCCTCGCCGATGACTGACCGCTCCTTTCGGGCCCGCCGCACCCTCGTCGCCGATACCTGCCGAGCCGTCAGTCCGTCACATTTCGAAAGTTAATGATCCGAGTAGTCGGGCTGGGAGGGTTGAAAGTGCGCCTGATCGCCGTTTCGCTGATCGTACACCGCTCCGTGGGACTGGACGTTCACGGCATAGTTGCCGTAGTTGGTCTCGTGGCCGACGTGATCGTCTCCCCCGTCGTCTCCCCCGACGTCGTCGTGGGCCGAGTGCGGGATCGGGATCGTCTTCGGCACCGGGATGAAGATCGGCTTGGTGAGCGTGACCGGATGCGGCACCGGCACCGGATGCAGTATCGGCACCGGCTTCGACACCACCAGCGGTATCTGCTGGTGCAGCTCCACCGGGACCGGCTTCTCCACCGGCACCGGCACGTGCTGCGGCACTTTCACTATCTGCGGCACCGGGATCGCCACGGGATGTTTCACTGGCACCGGAAATGGAATGTGATGGGGCACCTGGAACGGAGAGAAAAGCGCGCGGCCGATTAATCGTGATTAGAACGTGGAAACAGCCAAACCCGAGATAGTCGCGGCTTTAAAGTAAAAGTGTTTAGTTAATAGAAACCAAGTAGCTTCCATACTGAGAAGAGAAAATGTCGGAAAAATAGAAAATATTCGGTGAGTACTAATGACGTATATTTACTTAAATATATTTGAATTCTAAATTAAGTTATAAGTGAAATTAAGTTCTTCAAACTTTTTTGCAGGTTTCAGGTTTCACTCCTCGCGAATATCTCGACACACGAAAGGAAGTCGCAAAAAGTCGAGGTAAGCAATTTCTTTTTATGTGCGCTCTATTGGCTTTCACGTTTCCAGGCACACGCACGCGCGACGAATGATACTCTTTGATAGAGACTTCTGCGAGCAGTTTAATTAAGCACAAAGTCGGTCGATACTTTCGATCGTTAATTGGCGAGCTTTCGTTTTCCACGAAGTCGCCGTTGCTCACCTTAACGGGATACGGCACGGGGACCTTGATAGCTACCGTCTTGGTGACCTTGATGATCTTGGTCGGTACCTCGTGCAGATGTATTGACTGCGAGATGAGCTTCGGCTCGTCCAGGAGACCGTGGCCTTCGAACGAGGGTCTCGCCGTGACCGCCGCCGCCAGTGTGAATAAAAACTGCAAAGGTGTAATCGTTGATGAGAGCGTAACGAACCCGTCGCCCGACGTACGCCTGACAGATGACGAGCGACCGTCTGCGGGACTGCGGCTAATATGGCCAAAAAGAGCAAATTGCCGGCGGGATTCTTAAGCCTTAAATTAGTCTCTGATCGATATTGCGGGCGGAGGGAAACCATATTGAAACGTAGATCGTTGTCCCGCAAATTACCGTCCGAGTTTAACCGAATTTACTTTTAATTGTCCAAACGCGAATTCGTAAGAAAAATGTACTGGAGAGGGAAAATGTCCCCCATCTGCAATGCTAAACTTTTCAAATATTTGAAATCCTAAAATCTCTAACAGATATGTAAATACGAATATAATTTTAATTCTAACAGATTATATGTATAACTATAAGTGCATAATTATATAATTATATATATATATATATATATATATACATATATTATATATATTAAACAATTTTTATGTGTTTAATTATAAAACAATTCTAGTAGATATTTGAGTCGCAAAATAAAACAAAATTAAAACACCGTCGTTTTGCAAATTACTATTCGAATTGAACCGAATTTATTTTAATTGTTCAATTTTTAATATAAATTTATAAAAAAATGTACTAGAGAAAGAAAGTATGTCTGTCTACAATGCTAAATTTCAAATATTTGAAATTCTAAAATCTAATAAATATGTGTGAACATAAATATAAATATAATTTCAATTTTATAATTCTAACAAATTATAAAATTATAAATTTATAATCATACAATTATACAAGTATATAATCATATAAAGATATAATGACTAACAGCTACATTACAAAATGACTCAAGCAAACGTCTAAATCGCGCGAAACCAGAGAAAGTTACCACCTAAAAAAACAAAGAGTTCACCAGACCATTATATAACCATAATATAACCAAGCAAATATTCTTGAATTTCCGCCCGAATATCGATCACAGAGTTCACATTTCACGATCTCTCTTCTTAGATCCCGACATACAGCGACCAGTAGATCTGGGCGTTCGGAGCCGGAGCGGAAAATCTCGAACGTGTTCCTTGCGATTTTGATACGATCTCGAGATCGGATGTCACCTTATCGAACACGTTTCGTCACAGAATTTCGCGCGAAAGAGGATGTGCCCGCGAGACAACCAGCACGATTTCGCAAGCTTTCTCGTCGAAATTTCCGTGCCGCGCGACGGATCGATTTTTTGAGAGGCGGTGGCTGGCATGGCGGTGACTTACAACTCGTAATGCGATCATCTCGCGCTGCGGTGTGTGCATCGGGATCGGATGGCGTTTCCAATGGGACGAGCCGCACTGACTATTGTAGAAGCGTCTACGGTGGCTTATATACGAGGACCTTCACCGTGATCGGTGTGCACTCGAAGAAAGCACCCGCTCGTTCGCTCTCTTTCCGACTGGCCTCACGTTCGCTCGATCTCGTCTCCATCTCCTCCACGGTTCTTTTTTCCTCTTTGCGTCGTTTCCTTTTTGCGATTAGTGCTCCTCTCTCGCGCCGCGGGTTCGACGAACCTAGATGGTGGGCCCGACGGCGCGGAGGAGATCGCCGGTAAAAGGTCCCGACGAGCCGGCCTGCGAGATCGAGATCGACCGTTTCGCGGTCACGAGAGGAGGCACACCCTCGCCGATCGGACCAGCGCGACCGACCAGTCGATCTCCCGTCGCGCGCATCTCGCGAAAATTGCCCTGGAAATTATAGGTAACCGCCAACGTCCGCTCGTCCCTTAAATATATGTCGCAAAATTAAAAAAATATTTATTTAACGGCTACATTGATTTGAATCTGAATTCTTTATTATAATAAGATAAATCATGAAAATCCACGGAAAACTAGTTTTAAAGAAGTATATATTTTTACATTTGGAAACAATCTTTCTCAGCATAAAAGTATATATGTTAGTAAATATATAATGTATAAATAATATTAAAAATACAAGCTACCTTACTTTCTAATCACATATTATATATATTGTATTATATGTTATATTATATAATTATAACTTTTTTAAATACTTTAAAAATTATATTACATATATATAACTTTCTCTCTTTTATCTTCTCTCTTTTTATTTTTACCAATAAAGTTATTATTATTATTATTATTATATGTTGTTAGTGCCCACTGAATAAATATTTTTTTATTTTTCAAACATTTTTTATCTATCAAATTATTTAATGGAGCAAAATTTTAGGGGAATGTAGTATGAAAGTAAGAGAAGTACTTTGTTATGTTACAAGATATAATTTTTCTTATTAGAACAATACTCGAGACAGAAAAAATACAGCTGGCTTCCACGCAAAAGAGAAAGTACGACATAAAAAAAAGACAAAGTAAAAAAGTAAGCATTGGCGGTCAGGAAGAGAAATATACAGAGAGAGGATATAAAATCGTACAAGTAATCAAAGAGATGAATGAGAAGTCACAATTAAAGCGACGTAAATGCAGTTGCCTAAGAGGCGAATTGATGAGAGAAGATATGTGAGGCAAATACTAATGCAACGAATTGATGAGGATAGCATCAATGAAGTTCAGAGTTCTGTGTGTCAATACAAGACTGATATATCGTAGGTTTAAACGACACTCAAGCAAAAAGCTTTTGCATTTCGAAAACAGTAAGTTCCAGTTTGTGATACCAAGATACATTGTGGCGAAAATGAAAGTGACAGTATTGACGGATTAATAGAAGAGATGATTGCTTATTATTTATCATAATTACTTATTAGTCACTGTTTATTGCATATATATCTTGCGACAGTCTCGAAAGATTAATAATCTGACAACGTGAAAAGCAAATGATGACCGCCAAACCATTAGGCTGATCAAGTACAATAAATTGTTGCTGCCTCCTGTTGGGACTGCTTCAGGGCAACGGAGGATTGCAATTTATGGCGAACAGGATAGGAGAAAGTTACGATCCTTAGATATAAGAGAAGAACTGGAGAAGAGAAAAATCGACTATATTGCTTATCGTAATTACTTATTATTTATCACTTAGTGGTTGCTTATCACGATATTAAATATATTATCACGTATTCAAATGTATGTGTATGTGTGAAATATCGTTGAACTTTTCTTTATACGTAATAAATTCGATTTTTCCACGATTTAATCAATATATTTTTGTCTTGATAAAATTAATTTATGTGTCATATATGTCGATGATTGTCGAGATATAAGATTCAAGCAGCAATTTTCCAATTCCTCGATGAAAATCGCGTTTACGAGATCGCAGTTCCTCATTAGGTAATCCGTGCAACCGGCAGTGCGGAATCACTTATGGATAGGAAGTAATAATTTTGATACGCGGCTCACCGCGCCATTTCCGCGTGAAACGAGCGCAACATCGTAACGGGGAACGCCGCGATTTGAAAAGCACAGGCGGGCCGGGTGTGACGCGGATTTGCGAACGTGGACGAGAGTGAAAGGACTATCGCCGAAGAAAGGCGACGGAAACTCACAAAGTAACAGGACCGATCTACCGATTCACCGGTTTGCCTCCACCGGCGCGGCGCGTTTACCACGCGGAGGCAAAATTCGCGGCCGGCGATGCGTTGGTTCTGTGCGAGTGCATTGTCAACTGACAACGCGCGATGGCTTCCCTCTCTCGTTGAAATTATAAACATCATCAAAATTTCCAACGTTAATTCCAATCGTTAATGTTAATCGCGTTTTCACGCGTTTTTACCGTGTCTTTTTCATTGATCGATGAAATTAATTGATAAAATAAAAAATTTCTGAAAATTTATTTGTGAGATGTAAAGTTTATTTATAAAGTTTATAGTGAAAAGAACTTTTATCCCCCACAAATAATTTTCAAATATTTTTTTTCAGTGTACCCATCGAATATTTCTTTTAAATATTTATTTTCTCAGTGTTGTATTTATATTTGCAATATTATTGCAATATTATTGCAATATCACATCTCTATCCGATCATTTATCTAATTCATTTAATAATTTGTCTATTTAATTTATAAATTGGTATATAATCCAATTTAATTCAAACTTATCTGTCGTCTTATTAATAATTAATTACACGTTGACTAACAATGAATGCTAACAATTATTTACTTATAATGTAATTGACATGAAATTTAGAGAGCAAAATCTCTCTAGAGTTAACGGGATGGGTAGGAATATTCACTCAGGCATATCGGATTGTGTCATTTTGCGCTCCGCTTTTTTCCACGATAAACACGCGAGCTCAGTTTGCGCTTTCTCCTGCGGAGATTCTCAACGAGACCAAACCGCTCGTATACTTATTTATATCGCACGCCGGCATTGTGTTACCAGTGTTCGACTGAGATCACGGAGACTAAGAGAAAAACAACGAAAGCAAAAACCGCGGCGAAACCCAACACCGTTTTAACGAAGAAATTAACGGTTACTGAAACCGCGAGCAAAATCAGAATGAGTTTGACTAATGAGGACAAGCAAGGCGATTTAGATTAAATTATAATTGATACCTTCAGTTCACACGCACTGGACTCCTGGGCTGCAGTTTCCGGTGCAATGTTTGCAGCAATCATTCCGCGCTTTTGTTACGCCGTATATTATACATTTGTGCACCCGATGTCGCGACTGTGAGAATAAAAATATCTAAAAAGTAAGATATATTTGTTCGATTGTTACTAACTACTAATAACATGTTTACTTGACTTGTAATACATATTTTACATTAATACAAAATTTCTTTCAAGTAAGAAAATATATATTTTTTTTGCTAAAAATATTTTAAAATATATAATTTTCTAAAATTATCATACTTTTCATAAAAATAATTATTTATTCTTTTTAAGTAAGAGTTTAAATTTTATGTAAATATGTTATCAGTAATTAGTAACTTTTAGTAATCATGTTATGTTGAGAAAAGAATATTTGAACATTTATTTGGGAAATATAAAGATCATTTCTGTAAAACAAATTTTTATTTTACAAATAAATGTTACTTGCCGAGTAAATATACATTTTAAGATATTTTCACTTTCAGTATACTTATATTTGGTCGTGATGACTTCGTGTTATTAGGATAACGGAAAATGATAAAAATTACCTGCCGAATAAATATATTTTTAAAAATATTTTTACTTTTAGTGTACTTATATTTGGTCGTAATAACTTCGTGTATTACTAGGATAACGAAAGATAACTCGTTTTCTCGCTTTTCCTGCCATTATCCGTCACTTCGCCGCTGTATTAAAAATCGAGAATTGGTTTCTCGCGTTTGCGTCGGCGCGAGATGCAAATGACCAATTGATCGCCGATCTGCGGAAAACGGCGGAATCGAGCCGATCGTAGCGTGCGCGATTAAGCCCATATCCGCGCTATTTCACCTGCGTCTATCGCACGTTCACCTGTAAACCCAGATTGATTAACGTTAACCTCGTCAGCGAATTATGTGAGCGATTCGAGTGGATTTCGAACGGCTGCGTTATATATTCACATATACACACGCACATAAACCCAAATGCGATCATCTTCGCACGCGCGCTCATTAAAAGCGCGTCAATTTCCGATTCTTGCGTAGCACGAAGCCGACCAGCGGCCGCGGATTTGCCGACTTTCATTGAAAGTGAGAGGAGAAAGAAAGGACCGCGCAAATAATTTTACTTTTGCCTTTGTCCGCCGGACCGGTTTTTGTTCTCGTTACCGGGGCCGCGCACGCACGATCGTCTCCTTTCGATCCTGCAGGAGCTTCGATAAAATCGCGACGAGAGGGATGCCGCAACACAAAATCACCGATAATTGATCCTTTGTTCTCCGCAACAGCCGATTTCGATCGACGATCTGTGGTACGTGGACGGAACTTCTCGGAGAGAATACGATTTTCAGTTTGAGGAAAGTATCAGATTAATTCGTCATTTTTCTATTAAATTTTCCTAGAATGTTTAGATATTAAAAAAGAAATAACTCGGATCCTGAGTTAGATATCTAGAGGAGTACCGAGTCGAGTTGTTCATTTTATTCGTAAAAATCTTCCGAATTTTCCAAGTTGGATACTTTGTTTTCTATTTAATCTGACAAGTACGACAAACCTTTTGCACCAACTTGGTGTTATTTTTTACGTAATAGTTATCTTCAACAATAGTTATGTTTCACAATATCTTCTTGATACTAAAGAGACTTAACATTTTCTCATCACTTTTGGAGAATTTCTCGCATTGTCATTTATTGAAAAGAATAATTTTTTCTCATCACAAGAGAACTCTACTTTTTATGTAATAAGTAAATCGAATCTTCGTTTTAATTTAATATTCTTGAAACCCTAACTTACATAGAAAGAAGGA